TTAGCTGACTTTTCACATATTTCAATTAATTTTGTACCCGTCTCAACAGTCAGCTCTAGCGTTGGGTGATATGGGTCTTCTGGTAAAGTAATTGCAGAGGTTTTAACTATGCAGACACAATCTGGACTTGAAACAAAGCATAGATCCAGTAATCGTCCTAACGAATTTAGAACATGGTTTACTTGAGACAATGAAATATCAAGCAAACCATCAAGAAAATCATGCTGCGTTGAAGGTAACAATATATTCGAGGTTTCGACGGTGGACCATGTCGCTCTAGATATATTAAAGTCACCTAAAACTATTAACTGATCCCTATCTGATAAAATACTTGAAATAAACTGGATAGCGGACAGATGATTTGCATATATTGGGAATTCAGATGACGGCGGAATATAAGAACATGTTATGTATATAGAAATACCCGGAGAGGATAGTTTTATACACAGAAATTCAATATCCATTATTTCATCGGACGTTATTTCTTCAGACGTTAATTCTGAGTCAACTGCAATTAAAACTCCACCTCCACGTCGGGAGGGACGATCAAGCCTGTACGTTGTGAACTTACTTGGAAAGACTTCGGAACTAAGAATTTCCGGTTTTAACCAAGTTTCTGTGAACACAATAACATGGGAAGACAAGGATAAACTATCAGTATACAATTTGGTCAACTTACTTTGTGAACCTCTTGTATTCTGATAGGAAAGCAGAAGGAAAGAATCTAGTTTTTTGAGACAGATACAGATGAAGATGTGGATGGCTCTTTAAAGGGATTTCCAACTTCCTTTGAACGAATTTTCTTTTTTCTAGCTTCGTACTCTTTAACAAAAATGCCTGCAGGCCAAAAATTGGGTGACCACATCGTTGAAAAATGAGCACAGGGAACACCGATCTTGAATGATGATACTTCCCTAGCATATGGAAAATTAAATCGTTCAACCTTTAGATCATCAATCTGAACTTTGTTACGGATATAGGCCGTAATGTCCAGGGATGAAAAGTCAGGATTCAGCCGAGAAACAAAAATTTTTTTCCGCTGCGGTACACAGTTGACGGTTTTAGGTACCACGCATGTGACAGGTTTTGGTACTACAGCATTTATGGCTGCACTTCCAGTCGGTACTCCAGACGTTAAGTCAACATGCGGCGTTGGAATCATCTCTGTATTTTTTTCGGGTGTCTCATGCAGCAAAATCTCACGTCCTTTACATTCGGAAAGCGAATCTTTTTTAGATTTTGACCTCAGTACCATTTGTGCGGCAGCTGAGATCTATTGCTGTGCTGCAGACCCCGGATCGCCAGAGAGAGTTTCACTAGCGACTACCGTGGGTTGTCTATCAACCGCGATCTTTTTACGCTTAGGAGAATCGGGTTCAGATATCATACCGCTAGTGAGCTGCGACTCAATCGCCACAAGCAGCTCGGTATTTCTACGGATGTTACGAATTAATTCCGTCACAGTGCTTTTTGTGACCCGTCTTATAGACATTGCCTGGGTTTCATAAGCAACACATTCTTCACAATAGTAGCGCAAGCCACTTCTCATGTCGATTGCATCGCGAACAAGGCCCGAATAGCCAAGGCATTTTGCATGAAAAATACTATCGCACGAATGGCACGGAATACTCTGTGGTCTAGCCAAAATCAACGACTTGCATTTCTTCGAACAACAGACAGCCATCGCGATATTTCGAACCACAGTGCAAAGAGAAAAAAAGCTACGAGAGTAAGAGAGCGGAAGAGAGTGAGCGGGAGTGAGTAAGCGGGGGAGCGTTAGTTTTAGCTGTGCCAACAACAACGTTTTATGCGGGAGAGCGGGTAACTACCGTATAGATGCTTACCGCTCCAAACAGCGTTTGGTAGAAAAGGAAGTAATGACTTTTGGGAATTTGTGCTGGAGCTACACTTTTCATGTGTCCCAATTTTTCATACTCATCCATGAAGTCGGAATACCCTTTCCAAACTTCTGCTGATGTTCTTCGCTTCAATGCGAGGAACCTTTGCGTAGCTTTTTCTCTTGACTCCCCCAAGGCTGAAGCTTGTTCAGAGAACGGGAGTTTTACAATGAATTTTCCATCTGCTGCTGTCCTTAAATTTCCCATGAATTGTTTTTCGCAGTATGCTTCTGTGGGAGACCGATGTTTTTCGGTTGTGTCCAAGTTTTCCAATGTCCAAAATTTTTCTATTAAATCGTTGGTTTCTTGTATGGAATTAATTGCGCAGACGGCGGACGAACTGTCAGTAGCATTTACCTTACCACCTACGATCCAGCCCAACTTTATGTTTTGCATAATTGGACCTTTGGTTGTAAAGTTCTTCTGATTTGGGAGCAAATTTATCGTTAGGAAGCCAAAACAATAAATAATAATAAAGAATAATAGTGCTCTGCACCAATGAGCAGGTCTATTTTTCCTGGTTTGTCAAAGTTGGGGTCCGCCAAAGCCATTCCCTTGGATAACTTTGCTGGCTGGCTGATCAGGTATTATTTGGGGTAATACAAAAGCTTCAATCCGTTGTGTGAAACCACTATGAAGTGATTTAACTAGTATGTTGACTCGTGCTGTACTAGTTTTTGGGAGTTCTCCAATGCCTATAATTCGTAACTTAGCATTGTGGAGCTTTAGTGATAACATTGAAGCCATTCGCTATGTAATCAGATTTATCTGCGATCCAGAGTCCAGTAGTGCTCTAAAGTTTGCACACTGACCATTGTTGGCCTGTACTGCAACCTTAGCCGGGGCGAGTAGATATTAATTCTTATTACTAGCCGCCCCTACAATTGGTGTACGAGGCACTTTCGACTGCGGCAGTCCTTTGTTTTGTGATCAGTGCTGAAGCATTTGACACACATTTTTTGTTTCAGTACCCAATTTAATCTTTCAAGTGTGGGCCTAGATCGGAAGTCTTCACATCTGTAAAGGGGATGGACTTCTTTTTTAAAGAATTCACATGCAGAGAACTTTCCAGTTGTTGAGGACGCACACGTTGGGTTCGTTGGCATTCTTTTCGACGATTTATCCGATATTCCTGTGTTTAGGACTCGTACTCTTTGATCCAAAAAATATATAATTTTATGTAATGGTTGGATCTCAGTCGAGCTTCCAAGTGATTGCTCATACAAAGCCCGGTTCTTTATGTCGACATTGTCTGTCAGGGGCACGACTAAAATTTGGTATCCAATTTGTGGATACGTCGATGCCTAGGCCCTTCAAGCAGGAGAGAGACTCAATCGTTGTTATATATAATTCCTGCAATGACTTTGCGCTATCACAAGATGCCTATTGATGCAACAATTTGCGAATTACTGTATTTGCAAGCTGCCTTGGCTTGTTATACGAAAGTGAAAAGTGCTTATGCAGTGATATTTCCGAATTGTGGTGTCAGCTATATTCGCTGCGTCGGCATATTGATGACTGTTCAGCAGAGTAACGGTCTAACTCTAGAATTGCAATTGGCAGCAATTGTTATGATATATGATTCTTGGTTCGACATTTGTAATTGCGATAATAATTATATAACAGCATACATCGCCAACGCATTTGCAAGTGAGTTTCCGATCGGAACAAGCGTACTCAAATCCGATCTATACGTGGACGACGTACTAACCGGTGCTGAAGACCTTGTCCTACTATACATAGAAAGGCGGCAGCTAACCGAAATACTGGAACGAGCGGGCCTCGTGTTAACGAAGTTTCACAGCAACTCAACTAGTTTGGTAGACGGACTACAATGAGAAGCTAAGATTAAACTCGACGAGCCGGATACAGTGAAAGCCCTCTGATTAGCTCAGGATACATTCGGTTTTCACTACAAGGCTTTCGTCAACGAACCACAGACTCGAAGAACAGTTCTCTCAACCATTGCAAGGGTTTTCCATTTTCTAGGGTTAATAAGGATTTTCCTACAAAATCTAACTCTTGTCAAATTAGATTGGAAGAGCCCTTAGAGGGAAATTTACGGCTAACCTGGGAAACTCTTCAGGGAGAATTTGAGAATACCTCGAATCTATGCATTCCAAGATTCGTGCACACTTCACTCAGCCACGAGAGCGAAGTGCACGGCTTCGCCGACGCGTCGGAACGCGCGTATGGATGCTGCATTTACAAACGAGCTAAGACGATCCAAGGAATCAAAGTCAATCTGCTAATAGCCAAGTCTCGTGTAGCGCCAATTAAGGTGCATAGGCTTCCTAAATTGGAATTATGCGCATTAGTTTTGTAAGATCGTACATACAAAAAAATCGATCAAAGAATAGCACCATACATCGGAAAGGTCTATTTTTGAACCGACTGTCAGTCATCGAATAATTTTTGATTACTCATCGCCTTATCATCAAGCTATTCAATAAAAATTCAGCTAACAGGGCCATAAACAAACAAGAAGTAGTACACATCGCAGCTCTAGAGCTTAATGTTATTTTTGGAGGGTAATTAAACATATACAGCAGTCGGTATATCTTAATCGTCGAGACTATTCTCACACGCTCCAGCAACGCGCCAAATGGACTAGTCCACAGCCCAATCTAAGTGAAGAACAACTGGTTCTTATACACGAGGACAACGAAGCTTCCCAAAACTGGCAACAGGGGCGTGTCATCGCAAAGATTGCTGGGAAGGACGACAAGGTGCGAGTCGTGGATCTCCAAACGCAGAAGGGAGTGCTTCGAGGACCAGTGCACAAAATCGCTCCGCTTCCCGTCCAATAAGCAATAAGTCAATTGAAGGATTCCGGATCCTATCAAGGCCGGGAGTATGATGGAGTCCGATTCCTAACTTAATTTAATTTATTTTTATTTTGACAGATTTAGTATATTTCTAGAATTCGTACGGTCACTTTGTAAGACCAGCCTGGAAGGAGGATTTATCTGTCCGTCTGTCTGCCCGTCTGTCTGTCCGTCTGTCTGTCCGTCTGTCTGTCCGTCTGTCTGTCCGTCTGTCTGTCCGTATGAACGTTGAATTCTCGGAAACTACAAAAGCTAGAAAGTTGGGATTACTTACACATATACGTTGGCTTCCTACGCAGCGCAAGTTTCTTTCAGCCGAGCTCCACGCCTCCTCTTACGCCCACAATCTCCTTAATCGAGTTTAAGAGGTGTCTGGCGCAAACACCTTTAAAGATTCCGGAAAAGTAAAAATTCAGTTTTATAGTGTTTATCAATACCTATCGAAATGTAGAAGAAATTTTTAATTTAATTTTAATTTAATTTTTAAAATAATCAGGCAATATATGATTATGCGTGGTACCCAAAACAGTCACCTGTGTACCGCAGCGGAAACCAATTTGTGTTTCTCGGATGAGTCCTAACCTTTCATCCATGGACATTACGGCGTATATCCGTAACAAAGTTCAGATTGATGATCTAAAGGTTGATAAATTTAATTTTCCATAAGATCGGCGTTCCCTTGGCTCATTTTGCTATGATGTGCTTAGCCAATTTTTGGCCTGCAGGCATTTTTGTTGAAGAGTACGAAGATAGGAGAAAGACAAGAGAGAACGCTATAGTCGGGTTGGTGTCCCGACTATCTAATAATCGAACCTCAGCTAAAGGGAGTGCAAGGGAGATAGATATATAAACAATTTGGATTGCGTATAACATTTTTATGAATGGTCCGATTTGAAAATTGTCTTCTACATTTCGATAGGTATTAATATACACAATAAAATTGCATTTATACTTCTCGGAAATCTTTAAAGATGTGGGCGCAAAAATTAAAAGTTAGTGGGCGTGGCGCTCGGCTGAAATAAACTTGCGCTGCGTAGGAGGCCCAAGAATATGTGTGGAAAATCTTTACCTTTTAGCTTTTGTAGGCTAGATCGACTCGGCTAGTGACCCTGATCAATGTGACCCTGATTATGGGGTCGGAAACTAGCTGTCTAGCTGTTACATACTTTTGCACGAATACAATATACCCCTTTACTCTACGAGTAACGGGTATAAAAAATCGTTCAAAGGAAGTTGAATATATCTTTAAACAGCCATCAACATCATCATCTTTACCTGACTCAAAAAACCTGACCTCTTAATGTTTCCTGATGATCTTCCTAGGTGGATCTTAAGTTATTTGAATGGCAGGACTCTAAGGGTAATTTTTAAGAACTCTTTATCCGAGTTACGTCCGGTGTACCACAAGGAAGTCATCTTAGTCCGCTCCTGTTTACAATATTTATAAATGACCTTCCTTTTATCCCAACGAACTCACGTGTACTTATGTACGCAGATGACGTTAAGTTGTGCCTGCAATTTAATTATCCCGCACAAAGTTTAGCTTTACAATCCGATGTATACTATTCTCTCTGCATTTCAAACATGGTGCATGAATAATGACTTAACTTTAAATGGTTCTAAGTGTAAACTAATGATTGGTCATTAGTCCGACCAATTCTTGAGTACTGCGCTTCAGATTGGAGTCCCCAATATAGGGTGCATATAGACCGGATTAAGCCTCTGCAAAAATTTTTTTTAATATTTCGCTTACGGAACTTAACTGGGATACAAGTCTAATACTGCCATCCTACTCTAGTAGACTACTCTAATTACCTTACCATTATTAGTTAACCGAAGAACTGTGCTTGGTATTACGTTTATGAGGAATATTATTCACGGTGATGTGGAAAGTACCGAGTTACTGGGTCGCCTGCATTTCAATGTCCCTAGCAGCTTTATGATGCAGACTCGAGACGGCCTATTGAACCTTTCAGGAGTTTTTAAACAGCCCGATAACGGGTTCAATTCCGTTTGTGACCAATTTAATAAAAAAAAATTATTATTAACCAAGTCGCCTAAACGCAAAAAAAGCCAGCTCAGGGGCAATTAATAAGACCGTGAAACAAAACAAAACACTGAACTTGGTATCTGCAGCAGTCCCTGTCGGCACAGGGGTAAGCGAGCCAACTGCGCCAACTATGGAAACAGCCAGTTCCGGAGATAGCCCTGTTTCTGGATGCCAACCTGAGGCACAGAATTCGGTGCTGACTGTTCCTATAGATACAGTAAGGACCGCTTCTGGGTCCAGCCGAGCGAGGATTAGATTCCTGCTGGGGGTCAAAAGAGATTGTCGGTTGATCCACATAGGAAGCAACTGAAACCAGAGATAACCGACTCTGAAGTTCTGTCAAACAACTTTAATACCTACAGAACCGATAACCTTTCCCGTTGGGCAAGGGGTGTTTTGACCGCCGTTACCTTTACCTTAAATTCGGAGAGAATTCACTCTCATGTCCCCGGTGACATAAAATTTGTTTGTTTGTAAAAGTTTCCCTGCAATCCTTGTCTATTGTAGCATGTAACGTACAGAGGGAGATCCCAGAAAACTTTATATTTTCCAAAAGGAAGAGCAGATGACAATTCGTATATCGGTCGGACCACGTGATGGTTCCGGCTAGTCGTCGAGTCCGTGGATATACAGCCCATTATCTCCACAAAAGAAATCACATAAATATATTATCATTAAATCGATCACGTGCAAGAATAAGTCGACGGTAACGCAATTCGGACTGACGAATATTTTGGAGATTTGATTAGAATTGAAGTTAGGAAATGAAAATGGTTACAAATAAAAAGGAAAAATAAAAATCCCAAGAATGTGGCAAGATGTTGTTGCGACCACAAGAGCCCCCCTTCCATGATCACACCGTCCCATAGCTAAGGTGTGATCCCTAGATGAGGGAATTAACCCTCTTTGTTATCCCAACATCTCCTGTTATCGGCATGTCCCCTTTAGCTAATTGGCGGTCTACTCAAAATTCATTATAAAATTCATTTATTAATATAAAATATTTAAATGTACTGCTGACATATTTTTACAGGGCTTATTCAAACCCACAATCACTATTTTACGCAAGGAATTAGCAGAATATAAATTTATAGATAGGGGTGAGTGGGGGAATTTCGTCACAGGGACAATTTCGTCACCTGCAATATCTCGGAATCCATAAGTCGTAAAAATATATAATTTTTTTGTTTTAGTCCTTCAAGACGGCCAGACACAACCAATGCATTTGTTTTGCACAGAAGGCCAAGATAATTAAGCTATAATATTAAATGTGTTTTAACAGTTCAAAAGCTACATTTAGTTCTCGACGAAATTTTTTCTGTATGCCACAATTCAAAAGGAATAAGATACACGATTTTTTATATAATACACAGTGCTATAATGTGCATTTCTGCGTCAGTGATTTTTAACTTCGCGCCTAATTTCGGAAGAAAAATAATTTACTTCTAAAAAAGGACTGTCTGGGGAAATTTTGCCACTCTACGCTAAGGGTAAATTCGCACCTATTTTAAATACATATTTTTATATTTGACGAGCTGGCTAACGAACAGACTACCAGCAGCAGCAACAAATATAGGACGTCAACAAAAATGGTACGCTTGATCAGTGTAGCATATTTACAGGCGTTAAACTCCCTACATTTTTCAGGTGACGAAATTGCCCCGGTGGTGTGGTGATTTTACCCCCCTGTGTGGCGAGATTTCCCCAGTATATTGGTTTTAAATTTTATTTTTTTATAAATCACCAAGGTAATTAAAAAAATAGGGGAATGTCACATTTTAAAGCTTGGTGCTAACCGCATTCAACAATAAAAATAGAAATATGATAACGTGTCTCAAGATGGACAAAAAATAGCTTTGAAAAAATGCTGACGAAATTCCCCCACTCTCCCCTATATAAATATAATAGTTATTTAAAATATAATAATATAATCATAATATAATCATAATTTTCTTTTCTTTTCTTTCTCTTTTCTTTTCTTTTCTTTTCTTTTCTTTTCTTTTCTTTTCTTTTCTTTTCTTTTCTTTTCTTTTCTTTTCTTTTCTTTTCTTTTCTTTTCTTTTCTTTTCTTTTCTTTTCTTTTCTTTTCTTTTCTTTTCTTTTCTTTTCTTTTCTTTTCTTTTCTTTTCTTTCCTTTTCTTTTCTTTTCTTTTCTTTTCTTTTCTTTTCTTTTCTTTTCTTTTCTTTTCTTTTCTTTTCTTTTCTTTTCTTTTCTTTTCTTTTCTTTTCTTTTCTTTTCTTTTCTTTTCTTTTCTTTTCTTTTCTTTTCTTTTCTTTTCTTTTCTTTTCTTTTCTTTTCTTTTCTTTTCTTTTCTGCCAACCCACGGTACTCTCATGTAATTTTGATTCCCTAATTTTTTGATTCACCACACGACACAAGAACCTCACCAAATTGACCTAGACGGGCATTCTTTTCTTTCTTCTTTCTTTAACATGCCTAAAGCTATGACTTTACTTGATTGGTTTCATTTTTATTTACCACATATTAATTTACGTTTGTATTAGAATTTTCTTCACTGATTTTCTGGCGTTGCTATACCGCTCGCATACACACTCACAAATGGGCTTTTATTTCTTTTAAGGAATTAAATTTAAGTATTAAGAAAAATATAATTTAAATATAAAATTTAGAAAAAAAAACCTGAGATAATCATAAGGGGGGAGAGTACAGTGGCGTACATTTAGAATAATACCATTTAAAGGTAAAATTACACAGAAAGCCAGCAACCGGAGATGCTCATAAGAGAGGCCACTGTACTTTAACGTAAGTATTGCAGCGTGGTGGTCTTGCAGGTTACATGTGTGTGTGCGTGACTTTTTCGGGTGGTTCTTATTCAGGCAATTATTATATTTTCACACTCAGAAAAAAAACGTAGATTCTGCCGGACTTTTCGTACGACGATCAGCGGTATTTCCCAGGCTGTTTTCCGCCGTTTTCCGACTTTCCGCGGCCTCGGCGCCGAGCAGCGTAATGGTAAGCGCTGGTAATAAAAACTGAAGCCCCTCTCCTCTCTGGCCGCTGCTTTGGCCGATCTCTTTCGGGAAAGCTCAGTTTTGCCTGAAACGTCTGGATGTTGGAGCATATTGATGGAAAAACCAATGGCTGGGAGATTAAAGGTGTGCTATTGCACCTGGGTACCTAAATAAAATTAACCTAAATAAATTGACAATATGGTATAACCCACGACTATTTAATGACTTTTCTAATCGTTAAAATTAAAATTTCCCCAAAGATCGCCATTTTTGTCTGCCAACCCACGGTACTCTCATGTAATTTTGATTCCCTAATTTCTCTTGAGTGCAACCTTTTTGAGCTGAGCTTGGCAGCGATTCAT